GCATGTCAACCACCATTCTAAGGCCAGAGAAAAAAAAACACCACAAACACCATACTAAGGGAAGACAATGGTAGATTTGTAAAATCATTAGAAATAGTATAGGTTTCAAAATTTACAGGTTCATTGCATCTTGCTTTTCACTGTCAGTATAGGCATTACGGTAATATTGCTTGATAGAATTAAGAAATTCCCCAGCCTGAGTCGTAGCTTTCCACTTCCCTTGCGTCTCTGGAAAGACCTGAGATAGATAATGAAAATTTGGATGGTGCACAATTTCACAAATTCACAAGTATGAAGATCAGCTTTTCCTTCCACTCTCTTTTTGGTACATGATTTATAAATAAGAAAATCATAACAGTATTATGGGCAGCAGAGCGTCCATATTGCTGTGCAAGAGCATCTCCCATGCTCTGATATATATATCCATGAGAGCTGCAGCAATGCTACTATCAGGGTTGACTTTAGGATTATCTGTTAAACCCATTGCATGTAGGTGGTGGCCTAATGCTGCAAGGCCATAACCGTACTGAGCAACATTTGTACGATCCAAGCAGTCAATGCAATTAGTGCACAGAATGCCACTTTGAAAATGTGCTGCTTTACCATCATGATTTTCTTTTTCATTCTGTTGACCCAAATCAGCTTCTCTGTCTTGACCAGTTACTGAGTTTAGATTCTTATCATTGCTCCCAATACTGGTGAGATGATCCCATGAGCTAGCTCTTAGATATCTAACAGAAGCCTCCCTGTGAAGATTGGAAAAAAAAAAAAGCTATATATACTTGACCAGTCAACAACAAGATAATTTTAGGATGATTATACTCAAAAGCCTTTTTAACAGTCAACTTTGTGCCCGATGTGGAGAAAACACAATCAATTTGCCTATTTAAGAAATCTTTAAGATTTAAGTTTCAACTTTGCAGAAATAAACACAGAAACAGCTCAACATTTTTTATGCTTTTATATATTCATGAATTTATTCACTTATCTTTAATTCTAACTTTGAGCCTTGGGCATGTCTAACCCAAGAATCTTTATATCAATTGCTGCATCACTGGAATGCTGCCATTTCCAAGAGTTTTGGGCTGTCAAAAGTTTATTTTAACATAATTTTAAGTCGGATAAGTTTTAGAAAAACTTGGGATTATGAGGCCTAGAGTAAGAAAAGTAAATAGTAGAACATGCTGAAAATTAGACAAAATTTGAATGTGAAACTGCAATTTTCCAGCAGCACCAATAAATCATCGGGGCTCAGCATAAGTGGGTTGTTTATAGGAAAAGTTGTCAAAATATGTATGAGTATCAGTTGCTCTGACTCTTATATCACCATAACTTTCTGTATGGTTAACAGATGATCAATCATCATCTATAAAAACCTACCACCGAAGCAGTTTTATCAAAAATGTTTATTGAAAAATAGCATAGTAAGAGTAGAATTTCCAACATCAACGTCAACTTGAATAAGTTAATTCTCTAAAGAGAAACAAATCATGCAGTATATAAATAAATTTAAGATGGAAGAAGAACCATTTTACAACACAAAAAGTGACTAAATGGCATCAACCCATAACTTGACGTAATTAGTACTCTATGATACCTGCCAGTACTTGTTTGGCTGGGTTTGTTGGTTCTCTTCTTAACATTGTTAAGTTTCCCACTATAGTAAAAACCAGTCAAATCAAGAGCTTCACTAGCCACAGCACCCAAAACAGCCAAAACATTGGCAGACTTGCTGTGAGATCAAGAAAGAAGAAAATAATAAATTCCAGTTTCAAGAGATAAGTAGGAAAGTAGATAGGGAGGAAGGAGAAACAGGGGCATTCAAATGCATAAGAAGAAAACAAAACTCTTTTCAAACTTGTGAAAGTCCCCGTGAATAAATTTAAGATGATCTTCTTCAGAGAGAACTGTGTTCAAATGCCCAATTGCATTTGCAAACTCACGCCTCAACATCATATCTCTAGGCCTTTGCTAACATTCTGTACCATTACAACTAATCAAGTCAGAAAAAGCAAAATGAAACAATAATGAACCCAGAATTCCCTAGTTACTAAAGGAAAAAATATCACTTCTTGCAACATTTTAAAGTTGAAATTAATAAACTTTCTGATATCCAGTCAACAACAAGCCATAAGAACTCACAAATGTTTTACATTTAATTTGTATGAGTTAGCATTATCAATTCCTCAAGAGATTATGCATTATAATATAAAACAAACTCAACAAGCATTCAAACAAAGTACACAACAAAAGCATGCTAGGGACAGTTGTCCTTCTGCACCTAACCTTAATCACATTAAGCAAAATTATTGGATTGCCATATCTCATTGCCAGGTCTTCAAAATGCAATTTGGTTGCCTCATATGTTGGATAATACCTCTGCACTGAGTTGAAAACAGGAGAAATCAAAAGAATTTTTTAGAAATTATAAAAAAGAAAAAAAAAATTATTTAGATGTAAGTAAGATCTGTAGAAAAAGCTCCAGCAGTTTAAAGTTTAAACTTTAAACAACAAATGACTAAGACAGTATAGTATCAGTTGATTTCTTACAGATTATATCATGTTTAGGACTAAATCTCAAAGCCTCTTGTGACCAGAAAAGAGGAATCAACCCATGCATCTGAACAATGGAACTCATTTTTCCCTTACATGAACCAGCCTCTTCTTCTAGGACAATTTGTTCAGTTTCAACGTCATTCAATACCATTAACTCCCCTTCTCAAGTAACTGGAGCAAACAAATAAATCGTAAAAGAATTGAAAACCATTGAGATACAATTAAAGGAAGCAAACATAAGCTCTGTACTCTTTGCTATAATAAATAGTGCATGATCTTTCTATTCCCTAAAAGAAATAAATTAAGCAGCAAAACATATAAGCCTTAAAGAACATGAGTTCATAACAAGAAAAATCCTTAAATTGGAATATGAAATTACAAGTTTTTGCAATTAAGCCCTTTGAACTTGTTTCATTTGTTATGAATTAAGCCCTCATCTTTGCAAACCAGGACCATGACACCCAAATTCAACTGAACTATTATGCCTTTGTTAATGAAACTCAATAATCCTATTTGTAGTTTTTCTAAAGAAAGCTGTTAATTTTTCAAAAGAAACTGAAAAAAGTAAAAAAACAAAATTAAACTTAGAGGTAAAGAACTCACCATGTTCCCGCAAAATGCCAAGAACAGCTTGAAACTAGAGAAACACTGAAATCTCTCCCAAAATTTGACAGCCTAGACTGTCATCACAAAGCAGAATGGAGATGAATACCTAACATGCATTAATATCACTCAAGTTAAGCAAAAATCAAGACAATAAAATACCAACCATACATGATCACGTCCATGAGGAAAGAACCTCTGGATGATCCTCAACATTTTTTAAACAGAAGATGCTACTTCCTAAGTTTTTAATAAACTGCAAAAAGGAAATACATAGGATATCTGGTTCCTTGTGATTTAATGTCACTCCAATCAAAGTCACAGCTTATACATTACCTTAATATGTTCTTCCAATTTTGCTAAACTTAATTCAAGGAATTCCTTTTTTCTTAAAATAGTTTCATTTTTCAAATCTTTACCCCAATTTAACCAGCTTTCCAGATAACTTTGATCCTGACCAAGCAAAATTTGCATGACCAGTAAACCATCAATTTAACTTGTACATTGATCAAATACAAGAAGGATAAATAAAAAAGCCTAACTACCTAACAGAAGTTCAAGATAATTACAGCACCTCAATGCAATCAAATAATAAGACAAAAGATTTTTTTTTTTTTGGCCAGAGACATAGGAAAATAAGACAAAAGAAAAAAAAAGAGATGATGTTGAAGGAAACATTATACACAACAAGGCAGAGAGATAAGGACAAAAGGAAGATGACTTTTGAGAAATATTATAAACCTGTTTAAGATGCCCATGAACTAACATTGTCCAAAAAGTATTGTTGCATTTCAATCGAATAGCTTGAGTTAAATAGGAATTCTAGACAAATATATTATCATATGGCATCCCTTCTTCTCCCGTGGGCAATACATTCTTTGCAAACTTTGCATTGTGGTATATGTATAACTGTAGAAGAAATCTTTGGTCAAATCCACACTGGATAGCAGCTTTTTGTACCTGCAGTCAATAGCCAATGTAAAGAAAAATGAGTAAGATTAATTCAAAACTACACAAGTGGGAAAGCAACCTCACTAGCTGGTGTGAATAAAGAATGCATGTAAATTATGGAACAAATTGAAGACAAGACACCACTGGCCCTTCACTTCTTAACAATTCAGTTTAGTAAACTTGTGCTTGGTTCAATAAGAACCCTAAAATTGAATCAATTTGATCCAACTTATAACACCATCCATCAACTTTAGTCATATGTTGCTTCTGTGTCTGAAAGGGAAATTATTGTTCCATAATCATTTCAAGGCTATGGTTTTAAAATTAAAAAAAAAAAAAAAATGAAGGAAATACCTTAGTTCAGTTTTGGAATGTGCCACATCAGATTGAATAGAGACGTGGAATAGTAATCAACTGGCTTTCCTCAATACCATATATTGCATGACCACATATACATCCAATTTGATGCCTCTTTGTGACCAGGATCAAGTAGTATGACTCCAAAAACTTAATGCAACCTGCAATGACCAAAGCCAATTGGAGTATCTCCATAGGATCCATCCTTTAAGTGCCATAACAAGAACAACCCAACATTAAACTGCAATCCCATAAGCTTTTCCAACAAAGGTCAAGCCGCCTGTGGCATGATTGCCTTCAGCAATCATTTGAAGCAAGTTCTTCATCTCCTGTGGTGAATAAACCATTGGGTCTTCACTAATATTGAGATCAGATGGCTCTGATCGATCAATCTTCAAAATCCGGAAGAATCTCTTGTTTCTATCACTACCAATTACATAAAACCTCTGCTCCAAGAAACCAGTGAAGAGCTTCATCCCAAAAACAAAACCTTAAAAGTATCAATGACTTAAAGAATGTATAAAAGCATCCTGCTTTGCGGCCGGAAAACTAAAAACACTAACAAAAATTGTACTTGACTCCAACTCTCACAGAGACAAAACAGTAGCTTCAAAAATTATACATAAATCAGTCTCATTTAAGCCAAGCCAAGCCAAACTCCATTTTAGGATTTAAGTAAACCTCTAACTTTATTAACTCCATTTCTAGAAAAGAGGAAAAAAAGAAGGGTGAAAATCAAGGTCAATTGAATGATGCAATTGATGACTTGATAAAAAAAAAAAAGCAGTCACATTTTCTTGGCAACCAAACAGAACACAGAAGTCTTAACACTAACTCGGGATCAATTTCTTTTTTCCTTAAAAAAATTGCAAATAACTCTCTGAGCGAAAAGAGGAAGGTATAGAACTCGTTTCCCCACTCACTCTTAGATGCAAAAAGCATCTTTCCATTGATCTGAGCCAAAGGAGGAAGGTATAGAACTCCTTTCCCCAGTCACTCTGATATGCAGAAAGCATTAAAATTTTCCAATTTCCCTCTTCTTCACGTCACTATTCCTTCATTTTCCTAAGAAACAAACAGGAAACACAAAAGTCAAAATAAATTACTCAAAATTTCATATCCTTACCGCTCTCGTCTCGTAGAGATTAAATTTCTCGAGCGAGTAGGAATTGGTATCAACGTCGGCCGGTTTCGCCTTTGAATTTTGGTAGGAATTGGGAGAGAAAATCGGGCCAGACAGACGGTGTTACAAGTTTTGATAACAAGGATTGTCTACTAAAGCATGTGGGAGCATGGTCTAATGTATCATGGTCCTGGAATTTTGCCTGCCGTCGTTCTCTTTTTGGCAGGGATCTAGATGAGGAATCACACTTGTTGGATATTCTCAAAGATTGTATCCCAAGGGAGAGTGTAGAAGACCAGAGATGTTGGGTTGACGGGAAAACTCCTGAGTACTGGCTACCTACTACTGCTATGCAGTAAGACAAGAATTTTGGATAAAAAATAATGGTTAAACCCCTCTTTTGGTCCCTCAACTATTGTACAAAC